AGCGAAAGAATTATCTAGGAACGGTTTTCTCATCTTAACCTTGATATTCAGGGACCTCGGCCAACGGCTGGCGGAACGGGTGATTTCTGCAGCGGTTTGTGTGGGTATTGTGGTATTTTGTGCGTTGTAGACCAGGTGCTTTGCCCGGAAACGGTTTCGAGTAAAGTCAATGTACCGTGGCGAACCTTGAAACGGGCTGTTTGTGGAAGTATAAGAGGATCGGCTAGGTTTATTACTAGGGGAGTTAATTAAGCTAACGAAGGCCTACGCATTTCGAGACACCGTTCTGTTGGGTTCCAGACATTCTTTCTTGGCCTTCTTTCGTTAACGCTGGTCGAGTCATTACTAGAATCGAATTTATATCGATTCTAGGCTTCAATGACTTTTGGGAAGATCTGCTTTTTCCGAACCTTCGCCTTTTCATATTATAATTGTAACGGAATTAAATCCCCGACTCCAATTGTGCAATTGTGCAATTATACAAATGCAGTTCTGCGAGAATCAGACCAGCCACTGAATTCATGAAGAAAGATATCCAACTATTTGCCGTGGCGTCAACTAGGTCGCTAGAAAGTGGCTTCAGCAGTTCCTTTGGCCTTGCCCTTAATTCTAACCGAATTACACGTATCGAATATTGTCCAAACTCAAAATATGAAATGTCTTATGGATGACATCACCAACGCACTAGGGAGACGCCAAATGTTGGATGTTGACTAGATCATGAAGCCTTCCAGCCAATCAGTAACATGGTCGGCTTGATTATTCATCCGTTCCGGCGCCCCCTCATGTGACCACGCGGGCTGCTTTGGCCAAATCTAGTGTTTGAGTCGCGGGGTAGGAAATCTTGGGGTGTCTGAGCACCCTCAGCTCTGGGCATGCATGCCGTGCTGCTATAACGTTGACTGAAGTAGTTGAGGGCCCCGACCGGGGGAATTAATGTTCCTGGCCGAGATGGTTCACATGCTATAGCTCTATTTAGCATTGGGCTGAAGCATTTGGGATTTTGTATAAAGCAGGCCTTGGATCCGCCAACTCTCTGCAGCTCTGTAGATCTGCATTCTCCTCCGATCCGGCATTCAGTCCTACCGCTAAGCTTTCGCGATCGAAGCTTTCTAATATCAATAACCAGTGACTATTAGCTCTTCGAAGATAACATTATTTTTTAGTCTACCTCATCCCCGATCCTACAGTTTAGTCTTTAACCTAACCAAGCCAGCGAATATGTCTGATACTATCTTCCCAGCTGATGATAAAAAGTCGGATCTACCAACACCCGTAAGAAACTTAAACCACAAACCTTAATCGGGACGCCTTTCCGTCACCGCAAACTAACTTTCTGCCCACTGTTTGTAGCTCGGATTCTGTTGGGTCGAAATCCCCGTCAAAGATATGGAGCGGGCTTTGAAGTTCTACAGCGATGCGTTTGGGTGGACGGGCAAATCACATGGCATGGAATCGTATCAAATTGTTGAGAATGAGTTCAAGAATCTCAACGGCGCCCTTCGTCTGGTTACTGAGGAAGAACACGTCGCTGGGACCGCGGCCCGCCATACTATGAAGCCGTTCATTGGCCTTCGTAGTGTCAAGGAACCCTTAGCTAAGGTCAAGGAGGCTGGAGGAGAGATTATCAAGTGAGTTCTAATACCCCAAGACAAACTTTAGCCTTAGTCCGGCCTTGCTGACCACGATAATCCTCTCATTTTTAGTGATGGAGAGGAGATTCCTGGTGATATGGGGTTCTTCGGCGAGTTTTACGATTCTGAGCGTAACGTTGTTGGAATATGGGCGAAAAAGATGTCGTTGGAAGAGAAGAAGGACGACTAAGGGACTTAGGAAGATGCGCTTGTCTGCTAAGTGTAATAGTATTTCAGAGACCCATTGCATGCACGCCCTACTTCATTAGGTTGTTAGTTTTACACTCTCTGTGAGACCTCACGCTCTCTAGCTAGCTAGGGTAATGATGCCAGAGTTGGATTTAGAAGTTAATTAGGTATTATCGCACGCACTTTGGGCCTTCAATCCTACGCCGTTCAATTGATCAAAAGCGTTAACCAGAATGCTATTATTTCCGCTGTCTAGTCTTGCGTCTGAGGGGGATTTAGTATACAATAGGTATTTTTTCTATTAAAGATTCAAGTGACTACTCGCTCAAGTAACTGCAACGGAGATTAATGCATCGGGGTTTTCCTGCCGTGCTGTTATTAAGTGGCGTAGAAGGCTTTTGACGGAATCGAAAATGGATACATCTTCTCCAGTTATATGCACCAATAGCCAGCGTTTTTTATGTTCCTTATTCACAAATACTCTTATGTTAGTTATTGATCGACCAGATGGACTGTTTACCCCAAAGTTTCACCGGTTTTGACCAGAACCACGGAATACGTACACGAAGGGCCCTTAACAATGCGACAGAGGCGTTTCTTAGGAAGCCTGCTATCCCATGTGCAATTTACTGCTCGAACCGATAAGACTTCCTCCCTGAGATTTCAGAGCCTAAATTCTTCACGGACGGTTAACGAAGACCTGATCTATTTTCGTGTTGCGGAACGATCGATGGCCGATCAAGTTTCTTAATTTATAGCCAATTTCCAAGGTTTTTAACCTTTGGAGCAATCCTTCTTTCCTCTCTTTCTTTCCTCTCTCTCTTTCTTTCTCTTCTTTCTTTCCTCATCATCATCATCATCACTACCATCATCGTCGCGACCACAAGCGACAGCTACAACTACATGTGCCACGACGATGGCTACTAGACGCCTCGTCCCAAGCAGAGGGCCTCCTTTTGTGACGTCTGGGAACGGGGCCAGCCTCGTCCCATCTCGCCTGCTCCCTTCCCCATCTCTCTCTCACACTCTCACTGTCCCCCCCAGTTAGTCACTCCTATCAAGGTATATAGGCAACTGCTTCTATCCTTGGACAAAGCCGCTAATTTTCCTCTTAGGGCCCACCAAAGGATCCCCGACAGGATTGGATTGAAATTCTTTCACGAATGAAAGTAATGTCTGCCCAAATAGACACCCTTTCGGCTGAAATGAAGTCGATGGCGGTGGAGACAAAGGTTGAGTTGAAGTCTCTATCAAGTCAAAAGAACTGAACTTAACAAGGTAACGTTGTTCCAACATGCTGAAGCATCTAAGAATGCAACGATTACTAAAATGAAAATTTTGATAGTCAGTTATCAAGATCAAGGCTCAAAGAGACTTTCTACTCACATACCATCGGAACAGTCTGCCGAACGACTTACACTAGTGCAACATGACATCATTCGTCCACTGGCAAATTTATGCGTCTCATTAACCTCATCATTATTCCCCTCACAATGCCGAGATGCTCTTCAAATAATAAACTCTCTAAAATTGGAAATTTCTTTCAATTTTAAATCAATTGAAGACATCATCAAGAAACTTTATCCTGAAGTTTGGAATTTACTCTTTAATTCAAAAGAGCACATGATTCAGGATAAAGATGAGGATAATGAACAAATGAATGAGCGAACGAGAACCACGGATTCGGAGGTAGTAAGAATTTATCTATACATAGTCTGCACGTTATTGTTGTAACGGAATTTATTTTGAAGCACATTAACTGATGCTATTCTCTTGGTTCTAGCTTTTCGTTTGGTACATGGAAGGTTCGATTCGTTAATTGATAAATCTCTCAACTTATCGTATATTAGTATTTTTAAGTTATTAAATACTAAGTATTTGTTTTAAATTTATAAATTATAAATTATCTTTGGTATTTAATAACCGTAAGATGAAACTTCTTTGGAGAAGAAAAATAACGAGAAGTTACGATGCCCGAAGTAGATGACATGTCGACAGCCTCATCGGCCCGCATATCAAAGATAACGAAGGGATGTATGTTGTCGAACGATAATTCTGTGTGCTTCTCAGTTTTGGAACGCAGTGGCTACCTTTTGCACGAACGCGCCGCTAGTTCCCAACAAGGATTCGGATCGATCCCAGTGCAATTCCGTGCAATTTCTTTCTATAAAAATCTCCTGATCTTTTGCGCATGCGTTCATCGATATAGTAATACTAGTGCTCATGTAATGTTTTTCCCATGTAATGTTTATTCTATATCAAGCAAGCGCAAGCGCACGTTCCGACTTCGTCAGATAGCTAATTTGGACGAATTCAGGCAAAAACAAATCCTCGAGCGGTATCCACCGTATGTGCCGGTCTTGGTTTTTTGCGTAGTATGGGCCCGCAAAAATGGATTCGCTACCCATGGGCGGCCCCGTATCGTCATAATACTATAAATCAATAGTGCTGCCCCGCTCGAGCGCTCTTTGCTCATAGGGCTTAGGAAAATGAACTACCGTCCCGTTTCGATGTCCCGATAGAGATATTAACTCTCTTTACTTTGAAACCTTTTCTTCCACAGGTGGCGAGGCTGGCGCCGCGAGACAACCTTTCTTCAGTTAAATTTAAACCTCGGAGAGGAAATATATATATATAAATCCATTTATAATACTTGGCTAGATTAAGATTAGCTTGATTGAGACGCAAAACGAGTTTCGATTTTTTGGCCTCTGCACGTGGCTGGATGATGGTAACAAAGGAAATTCCAGGCCTGAGTTGAAGAGAGACAGAAGTCCAGGAGTCTTAGTAACTTCATTCTGTAGCCTGAGGGCATTCACTTCGATACTAGTAGCTAGTTTGTCCCCATTTTATACGATTTTAGGGTTCGTTAGTTTACAAATTTACAAGCATCAAGCTAAGTAAGAATATTAATCCTTAGCTTTAGTGGCTCCCAGGTATCGACACAAATAGATACATTGAAGCCAAATTAGTGGTCGCGGTACCGCACGTCACCAGCGGGATGATTGTAATTCCTACATGACCCACCCAGATATTCTAACTTTTGAATCCATCGTATACACCAGTTATCGCCGTGAGTATATACGCATACGATCGACGTTGCATTCTCCAAAATAGAAGGGGAAAAATGCAAAAAAAGAGAAGATCAGCTCCTGTCATGGGAACTGTTGCTGTGGAAGCCCGATGCGGGGGTCGAACCCGCAGCCTTAAGATCCCAGTTTCCATGGCAACTGTTGCCAGGATTGTAAGAGTCTTACGCTCTACCGATTGAGCTAACCGGGCTGCTATTGGATGAAGATGTCGACTGCCAAATTCCTCTATCAATCCTTGGGCACCACGGATCTCGAGGTTGGTTTGGGCTTCAAATCCAGCTGGATGAAAATTTTTAGCATAGAGATTTTGGTTGTGTTATGCCAAGCAAAGTTGGCTTGCTCTCCAAGAAAATGGAGGCTAAATGGACAATAAATGCCAAGCCCACCTGAATGTGTACGTATTACCTGGGATATATACCGAGCCGAGCTGAATTGCAGTTGGGTGCCGTTCAGTCCTCGATAACTCGAACAATTAGCAGCCGTACTATCTAAATGTAATTAAATACTTGCTACATACCTACTAGTTGTACTACATGCCGTGTGGATGGCAAGTTCCGTCCATCGCTTGGGCGTCGCATATATTAGGCAAAATCTGACACAGAACAGAATACCCATTCGATAACACAAAAATGCCTCTCCAGAAATGTTGTAAAAAAAAAAATAACTGCAGAGTGCTTCTAGATCGTGACACAGGACCACTGCGCAGCTGCCCTTCGCTAAAGATTTCTCCATTGGACCTTTCGGCTAACACTCTGCAGGATCATAATCTTCCACGGGGAGCTAGGTTAAATCTATGGTACCTTTTCTCTTGGTCGATAAGACCGACTTTGTAGTAGGGGTGTCAATTCGATTCGCTAAGGTTCCTGAAGCTTGGTTCTTTCCTAAAGTCGTCCAGAACGGGAATTGCGTTATCACCTTGGACTATTTGCCCCGGAAATATATGCGCGCAGCTGCCGGGCCCCTGCATCATTTTTTTTCAGCTCTGCAGTTCAGGCAGTATGCATATCGAAAAAGAAGATTGCACAAACAGAGATAAGTTTCGTCTCATTTTTTTGTTACGCTAATAAATCGGCAGGACAATTTCGTGATAGCGATATACATACAGATATGCAATCCTTTCAGCTGGCGATACCCTAGAACTTTAAGCCCAGGGCCTTTCTCTGCTACCAGGTACCTTACTCGTTGGCGAGCAGGCGCGGCGGATGCCTCACCCGTCCCAAGCCGCCACCGAAAGCGCCACCTGCAAAGATTATTGGCTTACTCCCAAGGGGGTTTTCGGGTTTTAATAGTACATACTCTTAAGAGACATCGCTTTAAGCTAGCTTGAAGTTTAACTCCCTGCAGGCTGTATGCATAGAGCCAATATCATGTTGCACAAACAATAATCCGTGCAGCTGTTTAGTATCCCGCTTATTATGATATGTAGCACAACAATTCGCAGTCTAGCTAAGCGGACGGGTATACTTACAGACGTTCTGTGCAGTCAATCGTCCGCTAGCCCGAAGATTTCAATTTTGTTTCCAAACTGCGTGTGGAAGTATTCCATTAAATTGAGGTGATCTATAATGCTGAGAACTAGTGACAGTGGTCGACCAAGCTGCTTTTGCCTGTTGTCCAACTGTCCAGCGATTATTGCATCATTGTTTCGAAGAAAATATTCTACTATATTATACGAATATTACCTGCATTATTAGAGAACAGACACCGAATCAATCCCGATTCAGAGCTGATATTTGCCCCTACATAGGCACATATCCCGCAACTACGTTTCGATATTAGCCTTGAAAAGCAGCTTATTGGTTCCTATAATCTCCTGTTTCGTAGGCTAGCTGCATAAACTAGCTCCATAAAGTACCTCTTTCTACCAAGACCTTAAGATTGCGTATTTCACTTCGAATAGCTAAGGGTATTTCCGCACGCGTGACAACTTACCACATCTGGATTGTCTCCTCAAGATAGGGATCCTTCTGGCCTCGATCAAATCACATCTGCAATCACTATGATATCCACGGGCCGCATCACCGTCTGCCATAATACTCCTCTTATGTCGCCATCTTCCAGTAGATTTCATCGACGTAGGTATCGAATTCACGGACTGTAGACTTTTCTACCCGAAGCAATGAGATGGGGCTTCTCGCTCCGAAAGAAAAAATTTCTTCTCTGGCTTCCTTTACATCAATCTCCCAAGAAATGTCGTGATACAAAGCCTTAGCGCCTCTCAGCTGCCATCTGATAATTTGGAATTCATCCATTGATTACTGGGGTAGTTACACAGCCGATGGTTAGAGCGAATATGTTACACCCTTACATTTACCTATAGGAGCCTCCTAGGCTCAATACCCCGACATTACGGTTGTGTAGTACCGAGTTCGGCTGAGGTCTGCATTAACGGATTCGCTTTCGTTAGCTGAGACTATCCCCGTGGCTATACCTAATTGATCAGAGCCGTCTTTGAGAATATTGACTGACGAAGACTCGCAAATGGAGGGCTCGTGGCTGTACGACCGTCTATAAATATCGAGGCAGGATCCCTCTTCTCTCGCTCTTTTCATCAAAGGCAACGATCAGCAAAAGATTCCAGGCAATCCTGCCAGGGAGAACACACAAGATGAAGTTGATTCGCGCTTTGCTCGCAGCCCTGGCTGCTGGTATGTCTCTTTCTTAGCAGTTCTCAAAATCCTCTAGTGTTAAGATACTGACCCAAGGCCTTCGACATGAACAGGCAATGCTCTCGCAGCCGTCGCTACCACTCTCGCCACTGAAACATCTGTCACCCGCACCTCCGCGGTTTCAAGTGCAGCAACCACCTCCGCGTCTTCAACAGAGACCATCGTGCCTCCAACAGAGCCATCTTATCCACCAGCAACTGGTACTCCGGGACCAGTTGACCAACAAATCGATGCCGTTGTTTCTGAATTGAGGACCAACGTTGTCAGCATCAACGCTAAGTACAGTACGTTCAGAATACATCACCAAATATTTTCCAAGTAATGCATTATTTATGCGTGCCGCTTTCTAACGACTATGCTAGATGCTACTTGCGCCAGCTCCTGTAACGCTGGACATATCCAGGCTTGGGGTGATGAGCACGCCAAAGTTGCCGATGTTGCTTTGGTCAAGCTTAGGGCTATCCCCGTTGGATACGTCTACTGGTGGTACCCAAGACTGTATGTTGCACCCATGCCGGAATGCTGCTCTTTCTTGGAGAATGAATCTAACCTCTGGCAATAACCTAGGGTCTGGAACCTTGGCTGGATCTGGATCGAGATCTACTATACTCTTTACTTCATCTGGTTCCGTGCCGGACTCAGTAAGTTCCCTCCCCAAATACCCCCAAATATAAAAATACTAACTGAGTGGCAGTCTGGGAATTGATCTACTTCAACCGTTATCTCTGGAATTTCTACATCTCGTGGAGGGCTCTCTTCTGGTACTTCGGCCGATTCGGTGGATAGTAAGTTGCCTCCTTTGTATAGGCCCTCCAAAGTCTCTATAACTTGGTGCTAACGTCGCAATCGTGTAGCTGCTTCTGGCCATACTGGTACGGATGGTTCTACCGCTACTACTGGGGATGGGGATGGATTTGGTGGAGTTGGTGGAGAATCTTCTGGTGGTGGTAAACGCACCACCTCGTTTGGGAGGCTTAGTTGCAAAGGGCTTTGGACGAAGCTGCTTCAGATATCAACGATTATTAGCTAGGTTTCCTAAGCGCAGATGCATAGTACCCGTCATGTAGTTGTTAGAAGGGGATCCAAATCAAAATATATACCTACTTCCATAAAATCTTCTTGATAAAGTATCCTAGCTTCAGCCAGGAAGCGTGTGAGACTATTTTCCGCTATCCAGACCAGCTAGACTTAGCTTAGACCGCCAAACGGACGGCCATCGCTCCGTTGCTATCGCGCAGTTTTAACACATGTTACACAAATCGATCATCCAGCCCGAATTGATCGGCCAGTTTCGTACCACGAGCAAGCCGTGAAGAGCCAGCCAGTGTAGTAACCTGGATCCAACACAATCTGCTGTTGTATTTTTTCTGAGCAGCTCCAAATTGGCCCTGTGAAGCATGCAGGCAGAGCTTTCTGATATATTGGTGTCAAAGACTGTCATGATATAACTTATTTTTGTTCCTGAATGTAGATTTATTCTAGGAGCCCAGCAAAATAGAATGTGACATGCTTAACAATCCAACTATCGTTGACCTCATTCAGGTTATGCTTCTGTTGAGTTAAGTGTACCAACCGCCGCTATCTTCAAGATCGTAGCTCAGTAGTAGCATGCTTAAGGTCTGAATATAACAACGTGTGATGTCGTGAATTTCTCATAGATGTTTGAAACAGATAGACCTTCGGGTGTGTGATTTGAATCCTTAAATGAACAATTAGTTACGGTATGGTCGACATATCGATCGATATAAGGTGTTGGGGTCAGCTTCTATCCCACAATGAAGAGTCAGCTGCTGAAGCGGTGCTGATTGTCACACGCCTCTATCTCAAGAGAGAAGTATTTGCCCTCAAGATAGAACCTTCGCACTCCCACTACATTCATCAGCAATCACCACCCGTATCGCCAGCCTCACGCTGCAGCAAAGTCACTAATCTGCTCCTCGTGGGCCCCCAGTATTTTTCTACTTAGGTTCAGCTCGTCGAAATCTAGATGCCTCAATCTCTTCTTCCTTCTCCCGTTTCATCTCCGGAAGCTAGCCTTCCATCTAGCGGACATCCACCCCCACGACCCCCGAAGCGGCAATCATCTGTCGTTCTAGATGCTTCTGTCCCTCTCACATCTCTCACATCCCTTTCTGACTCCGAGCCCCCCCGGAAGGAAGTTAAGCAAACTTCGATATCAGCTTGTGTTCCTGAGGATCTCAATTGCTTCTGGGATATCGTTTCTGATGGGCTCAAATGGGGCCCGTCCGAAATCACCATGCCCTCAAACATCCAAACCCAATATCTCGACCTCATTCAATCCAATCGAATGTTCCAAGGCTACGTCATCACCGACAAATGGGTCCGAAGTCTTCTCAATGAGCACTTTGCTGATATCGACGAGCATTGTGATGAGATCGTGTCCGGAAGGATCACGAAACCGATGGGCAACGACTACATTTTATCGCTGACTGAACCAACCACACTTGGGTTCCGACGATTCTGGGTTTCTTGTGCCATTGGCAACCAAGAAAAACACAAG